ACAATATGTGCACTTAGATTTTTCTTAAAAAGATAAGCGTTGGAGTAAGGTAGCCAGTTTGCTGGACAAGTCTTGCACTTGGTGGTATCCTTGGGGAAAAGCTCTAGAAAGCAAGTCTGAAGACCACCACCGTGAGATGAAACTGTTTCCTCCAGCCACCTCCAAAACACATTTGTGCGTGTGGGGGACTCAGTCAATGGGGTCCCCAGGAGCAGCCCCAAAGGCTGGGGTGTGAGTGGGGCCCAAGAGCGCCTCCAGGCTCAGCCACCACACAACCGAAGGCTCTCGTGCAGTTAACCTCTCTGAACTTCCATTTCTCCCTGGAAAATGTGGATCAGTGATGTCTGCCCTGACCACACTGCTCACTCTAGAATATTCTATAAGAGAAGCAGCGTGGGGGCCACTGGGATGTGCTTTGGCCCCCCAGTCCCCGGTACACTTTCAGCCCCGCCTCGCATGCGCTCAGTGACTTGGGCGTGTCTCCTCTTCTGTAAGACCATTCCAACTTGGCAGAGTGGCCATAGAGCTGAGGCCAGGCCAGGCCACCTTGACTCTCTCCCCTCCCGTTGCAGACACCTATCAATATTCCAATTCTCTCCATAGTTTGGTACGGCTTTTTCGGTTCTGAATTGATCTAAGGCCTTTGAGTATCTGTTAATAATTCCTTCTGGGGGCCCCTGGGTGGCTCAGGTGTTAAGCATCTGCCTTTGGCTCAGGTCATGATCCCGGGGTCCTGGGATTGAGCCCCGCATCTCCCTCTCTCTCTGCCTGCCACTCTCCCTGCTTGTGCGCTCTCTCTCTCTGGCAAATAAATAAATAAAATCTTAAAAAAAAAAAGAAAGAAAGAAAGAAAGAAATGCTTCCTTCTGGCCCAACTCCTCAACAGCCACCAACCTGCAATGCCACCTTCTCTCCCTGCGGTCTCCCCAAAAAGCAGGGGGATAGAAGCAGCCTCTGAGGCCCCTCCTGCACTCCTCCATCATTGGCTCTTCTCAGAGCTCTAACACCCACTTGGGTTGTGGTCCTTCCTGCGCTGTTGCCATGGTTCCACCTGATAAACTTGACTATAAACTGGCTTATTCATCATGCCTCATCTAGAGCACCTAGCACCTGCCCAGACGGAGCCAGGCCTCCTGTGTTTGCTGAATGAGTAAGTTTATTACTCTCCATATAAAACAACACTTCCTTTACTGCTCTAAATTTATACTATGCAAATCTCAAAGGTTGTCCCTTTGTCTGTTGTGAACATATCTGCCTTAATCTTCACCACACTCTTCTCAATTTTGCGCTGGAGCATTTTCCACTTCCGCTTTCCCTTGCTTGGCCCCAGAGCTCTGACCCCTCGGGCCCTGCCCCAGCCCCTCCTGGGCAGACACTTCTACCCTGGCGCCCTGCCTTCCGGAGGAGCTCCCCTCCCCCGCCCTGCCTATGAACACTTTAGAACTTCATGCTCACAAAACAGGACACACACTCTAGTCCTCCAGTCCAGTGTTGATCCACAGCATTGTCTGGTCTTTGTGGCCCCTGTAGCACATGGAGAATAGAGAATTCTAGACGGTGCCTTATTTGCATCCACCCCCGAGCCCCGGGCCTGCAGGACAGCTACACCCAGAAACTCCATGGTCACCTCAAATGCAACAGGTCTCCCAGAAGGCCACCGTCAACCGCCGGAAGGAGGCTCCTTCCCTCCCACTCACACAGGCTCTAGGACCGTGTATCCTGGGGCCCCCATTGCCCATCTTCAAGGGAAGTGGGGCTCCCAGCTGGAGCCATGCCAGGATGGCTCTCAGGGAACACAAGGGTCTACTCTGGCAGGGCAATCCACCCCTGCTCAGTCCACAGAGGTCCTCTGTGGTCTCCAAGCCTCCACCTGGCTCTAACGCCTTGGTTGCCCAGGGGCGCTCCCTTACACGCTCCCTGACCTTGGGGGCATTCCTACAGGTCCGTTCCCCCGCACAACCCTGCCTGTGCTTTTCCTACCTTCTCACGTTGGCATCCCTTCCCCCTACTATCTGCTTGTCCAAAACCTCATCAGTCCTCACAGGGAACTGGAATACCCAGAGGAGAGTGCTGATTAGAAGGAAAACTATAGATGCTACCCAGAGTCTCTGACCTTTCATCTGAACCCCTCCCCGAAGACCCAGAATACAAGCAGGGGGTGGGGGGTGTTGCAGAGGGCTGAGGTCCTCCAGTTCAGGGATGGGGCAGTACAAACTTTCTGTCAAAGGGGGACATCATGTTAATTATTTGCTGTGTGGCCCCAGGTATGTCACTCACCCTCTCTGAGCCTCAATCTCCGGTCTGCCTACACGTCCTTACACAATGTGAGCTACCTGCTGTGAAATGAGTTTGTGAAGAGCAGAGCCCTCTGTGGGTGGGAGGTGGTGGGGGGGCCCTCTGGGTACCATCAGACCATCTGGAGTCTTCTGGAATGGCCCTACTTGCCTGACCTCTCCATTCCTGATAGATGCTTTCTGACTCTGGCACGCTAACAGGCTCACCGGCCTCAGCATTACCTTTTTCACACGATACCGAGCGCCCTAGGAATAGGGGTCTCTGGTTGTACCGGTGGCTGTCTGTAACTCACAGCAAGGCACACGGAGGTAACAGCCCTGCAGCTGTGGGGCCCTTCATTCTCCTCCTCATCACCACCCCCCTCCTTCTCCCCGGACAGCCTGACTGGAGAGAGGCCCAGAGTCTGCCCCGGGGGGCAGGGACAGGCTGGACCCCTCCCAGGGCTGACCCCGCCCATAGCATCCTCGCGTCTGTGTTTGACCTTAAAGCTAATCTATCTAGAATTAATGCACTTTCTTCCTGTCCCTAGACGCGCACAGTTCATACCCGCAGCCAGCCCCTCGTCCTTTCCCACCAGCCACTCCCAGGCTGCGCTGCTGGGCTTTGAACATGTCAGGGCAGGGGAGAAGGAGGTACTCGAGGGCACGATGGTGGGCTGAGGTGGCACCTGAGGGCCCCTGTTCGTGACTGGGGTCTCAGAACTCCCTACGTGGGTAATCTCTCTGCCGCCCTGCAGGGCGCCAAAGACTCCCTTCCCCACCACCCCCTGCCCACTCACCACCCCTCCCCGACCACCCTACGGGGCCTTCAACTCAGGGGTCCCCCCTTTCTACCTGGGGCCTTGGACTCACTCCCAGCACCCCTCACGCCAGCGACTCTCCTGCCCACCCCTTCGCTCCGGTTCTTCCTCGTCTCCAGGGTTGGGGGGGGGGATCAGAAAGTCGGGAAGCCACAGGAAATCAGCTTGTAACTGGTTGCTTCCCAGGGAAATGGCCATGACAGTTTCGATAAGGACCCCAGAGCCTGAGTCTCCCCCTCAGCCCTTCAGCTGTTTCTAACTAGAGGCACCCCCTGAGCTCTCCCCATGCAAGAAGCTGCTGGATGCTCCGTCCTTCCCTCCCCAGCCAGGGCTGACAGCCTATGCAGTGCCTTTGAGAGGTTTGGGAAGAGCCGGCCTTCTGGGCAGATGCAGCCTGCAGGACGAAGGCAGGCAGAGGCCACCATCTGGGTGAAGAAAGAGTCCCTGCTCCCCCAGGGGAGAGGGCTGGAGAGGGGGAGCTGCGGGAGGCCAGCCCCTCTCAGCCCAGGCCACACCCCTCGCCCTGCTGCCACCCGTCTCCAGGGTGACCCCTTTAGCACCCCCAAAGCAGAATGAGGTCAGAGCCCAGGTGTCCAGCTCTTTGGCAGCCCCCTCCCCTGCAAAGGGAGTGGGGGAAAAGAAGGAGGAGCCCTGCCTGAGGCTGGCACACATGGGACCCCCAGGGAGTGCCCGCCCCAATCCCACTCACCCTGAGTCACTGTAGCAGGTGCCCAGAGCCAGAGACCCAGGGTCAGGATCCAGACCACCAGCATCTCCAGATGGGGCCCTGGCTGCAGGGTCTCCCCTCATCAGGAGGGACCAAGAAATGAGAGCTCCCAGGGAAGGACCAGCTATACAAAGGACCCCAGAGACCTTTCTTTGCCTTGGGCTAGGGGTGCAGTAGTGAGACTGGGTGGATGGTGTGTGGTGACCACAGGGAGTTGGCCAAAGAGCAGCCCGTCAACTCTCCCCTCTAACTCCACGAAAGCTGACCGCCCACAGCCAGGGTCCCTACGGCGGAAGCCAGAGCCATGGGTGTGGCCGGGCAAGAGGGAGGGACAGGAGGCCGGAGATGTGAGCGTGGGTGGTGGTTAGCAAGGGGCGGGGGCCAAGAAATGCCAGGGAGAGAGTAACTATGGAGGGAGGAGGGCAGTCCTGGAGGGAGTAGCCAGCCACAGGCCAGGCTGACTGAGGGACCCTGCACCTCCACCCCTGAGAAGCCCCTCTTTCTTCCAGTCTTCCTTCCCCTCATCCACCTCAGGCTGGCCCCTGGCAAATTTCCAGTGCCTTCCCCCAGGCCTGCGACCATCAGCCCTTCTGGGTGGGAGTCCCATTCACACCTGAGGCTTTATGGTCCTAGCGTCCACCCCCAGCCACTGGCAGTCCCAGGGCAAAGGTCCCAGGGGCTTCTCCCAAACCTCCACCCAAAGAACCTCATTCTCTCAGCCCCGACCACCCTCAGCCCCCACAGTAGTGGGAACGGGAGGCCCAAGCCCAAGAGTGGCAGGCCCTGGCGTGAGCGTGTCTGCCACCCAGGCTTGTGGAGGCTCGAGGCCTTTGGGGAGGCCCAGCTTTACCCATCGGCGCGAATGGCAACTGACCCGGCCCGGGCCACCCACCCCCCTGACCCAGCCCCGAGCTCCCTATGTCAAGGGAGGAAGGGCAGAGATGACAAACCCAGCAGGCCCCCCACCCGCTGCTGACCCGGAGGCTCACCTGCCACCATCCACTCCGTAACGAAATGGCCCCCAGTCTCTAGGAGAACAGTCATGGCCCTGAGGGCTTCCCACAGACCCCTTCCTCCCTTGCTGGGAGAAGCTGGTGCTCCCAGGCCCTCCCACACATCCTCTGGATGCCCCTGTCCTCCAAGTGGAGGTGCTATAAAATGAGGAAGACACAGAGCAACTTCTTCTACAATAAATGCTATATTGTGCTCATGGGACAATGGAAGCTGGCAGACTTTCTTCCCCAAAGGAGATGTTCCTGCAAAGAAGGCTGGGGACTTCTGGCCTCTGAGGTTACTGCGGGGATGGGGGTGAGGCCAGAGAGGAAAGGGGCACGGTGGGGAAGTGTTGGGAGGGTGAGGTAGTAGGGGATGGGGGGAGAGAGGGCAATGAAGACAAAGGGCTGAGGGAGCTTCTCCACCTCAGGGCCCTGCTTCTGCTCTTCCTTGAGGCCCCAGAAAACCGGGATCCTGGGCCTTTGGAATCGAGAAGAAGGAATGGAGCCTCAGAATGGGGGACCAGGGCCTGAGAAGCACCAGCTGGGGGGCCTGAGAGGCAGAGGACATCCATACCTGGCTGGGAATGGGGTGTGGAGGGAGGAGGGAGGATTTAAGACTGGGGCCCTGGGATGGGGGTGCTAAGGATTTACGGCTGAGATTATAAGGGTGGGGGAGGCGACAAACTGGGGGAGACTTGGGGCTGGGCGCTGGGCTGGGAGCGATTTAAGAAGTGGGTTCCTAGGGGGAGATCTAAGGGTGGGAACCAGGGGTGCAGCAAGGAGTTACATAAGGAGCAGGTAGGAGGATGTTTACAGGTGCAGGTGGGGAACTGGTGTAGGGATGCTCACAGGAGAATAGAGACTGAGGTCCGAGACCCCCAAAGGATGTGGGGATGGGGATCTGCGAGAGACCACATAAGCACGAGGGCAGACACAGGAAGGTGCATTGGGACAGAGATCTGACAGAGCGCGTCTGGTTTTCACAGTAACCGCACGGGGTATCAGGACAAGGATGCCCTACTCATCTTAACAGGGTTCAGAGAAGTGACTGACTTGGCCAAGGTCCCACAGTGCAAGAGCCTGGATTTGAACTGGGTCTCCAGGTGAGCTTCACCCAAGTCAGGAGAAGGATGAGGGTCAGGGAGATGGTCTGAGTTTGCTCAAGGAAACCAGGAGACAGAGTTGCCCAAGTCCTTGGGCCATCCCTTGGAATGGATGTGGTTCAGACGGTTTCTTCTCACTGTCTGGGGCAGGGTAGAGGGGGAGGTGCCGGGCTCGCAGCAAGGACGAGGCCAACCTCAGGTCTCTGGATATGCACCTGCCACAGAATATGTACCAAAGAAGGGGTGAGAACAGGGAACCACCCTGCTCAGGCTGGCTGGAAGGTCACTGCCTCCTGGTCCTAGCCCAGCCCCCTGCCCTGGTGGGTGGAGGGAGGGCGTCTGGACCTGGATCTGGGAGAGTTCCTTACCATCCCCCCTTTGCCCCCCTCACCGTCACATTGGTGTCCACAGTCTCCAAGGCCACCTGGAAGTGTTCTTCCTTGACTAGAGAGAGAAAAAGAGGAGGGGAGGAAAGAACAGGAGGAAAGAGAGGTGAGAAGGGGCAGGAAAGGTGGGGAAGGCAAGGTCTGGCAGGGGGGCTCCTGTGCCCCCGGGCCTGCCCTGCAGGGATGGCCCCGGCAGGACCTTCGCCTTCCTCTGGAGGTGCGCAGGGAAGCGGTGACTCGAGCTTCCCAACACGAGGTACGTGTCCGCCTTGGGCAAGGGAGGACGTTGGGTCCTTCCCAGGCCGCAGTGGTGCCCAGGAAAGCCCCTGTCCCCCTTCCCCAGGAGGCGGGACTCACCCGTTTGGTCGTCCTCCAAGCCCAAGTTTGAAAAAGTCCCCACAGTGTCCTCATCCCAGATCTCGAACCATTTCCTGTCATCATCCCAGGACCTGGGTCGGGGCAACGCGCCGCCACGTCAGAGCAGGGCCGCCCCAGCTGGGACCCCTTGGCCGCCCTCACCCCCACCCCCAGCGCGCTCACCGGCCTCCACCTTGGCCACCTCGCCGGGAGCGGGAGCGCGCGACGAAGAGGCTCAGGGACGCCAGCAGCCCCAGCAGCAGCAGAGCCCAGACCCCCGCCAGGCCCCCGATCAGCGCCCTCCAGGCGACGGCCACCTGGCAGCGCGGGCCCAAGAACCAGTGCGTGTCCGTGGAGAAGCAGCTGGAGCAGGGGGGGTCACAGGTCACAGACCCTCACCACCTTCCCCGCCGGGTCCACTCGTGCACACGGACCCCTCGGGTGCTGGCAGGTGGGCGGGGCTCCACCGTGGGCCGAGGGGGCGGGGCCGGGGCGGTGCCGGGGTGAGCGGCCAGCTGGTAGGCCTGGCGGGCTGTGGGCGGGGCTCCCGCGTACGTGCTGAGTCTCACCGGCAAGCAGGACCGCTCCTCTCCACAAGGCACTGGCCCTGGTGACAGTCGATGGCGCCGTCCACGCCCAAAGTGCATTTGGTGACGCAGGGGAGCCGGTTCTCCTCCACCAAGGGGAAGTAGAAATCCTCATAGCCTTTGGCAGTGGCGCGGCGACAGATGGCTGGGAGTGGGTAAGGGGTTGCAGAAAGACAGGGACCTCATCCGCTCTACTCAGGGGCCTGGTTATAATGGCTCCGAAAATAGATGGGGGAAACTACATTTCCGAGGGTGGGGTGTCCTGGGGGTAGACCCTAGGATTAGATGAAGGGAAGGCAGATCCCCAGGACCTTCACCCTCTCCTCACCTTCTCTGCTAGTCTTCAGGTGGAAGCTACTAACAAGGGCCAGGAAGGGCAGCCCTGCCCGGGGTCACATCACTTGCCTCCATGAAAGGTCTCCTCCGCCTCCCCAGGGAGTTTCAGTGGGCAAATGTTCCTGGTGGGAGGGTCATGGCCTCCTGGGGCCACTCAGCCCTTTGCCCACCCTTACCTTCCAGAGTCAGCTCCTTCCTGGTGTTATTGTTCACCCTGATGGAGTCAGGCTTAAAACACAGGGCTGGGGGGACACAGGCACAGGTGGAATTGGGGGAGGTTAAGGGCTCAGGGACAGATAAGCAGAGCAGGGAAGCCCAGGGAGGGGCAAAGAGGGCTCTGTCCCTATGGGGGAGATGTGGAGGGGCCACAACGGAATGCTCCTCTTGCCTCCCTCATTTCCCTCCGAATAAGCAAGGGTCCTCAGCCATCCTGAAAATTTGGAGAACTGTCAAGGGGTCTTCCCCAGTACCCAGGTTCTGGCAGGCCCCTCCTTAGCCCCATTCTTGACCCAGTTGGCTGTAAACCTACCCTTTCCTCTCCCAATCTGCCGGAAGGACCCCAGGGCTGGCACCTGAGCCCAGAGGCTCCTATCAAAGCTGGTAGCTCTGGCCCTGACCCCTCCCTGCAGCTTTGGCTCACTCTGGTTATTCTGGCAGTTGTCCCCGTTATGGCTGACATTCTGGAGCTCCTCCTTCAGGACTGACTTCATCTTCTCATACTCGCTCTCCAGCTGGGGGCTAAAGGGCAACTACAGCAGGACTAGATAGTCCACCACAATGCTGCCACTCCTGAGGGGGTCGAGAGGGTCGGGGGTCTTACAGGGTGCTCAGGCCTAGGGCACATAAGTCTTTAGGAGGGCACCTCCAGGACCAACCACAAGTGCACTGGTATTGGGAGGAAGGCAGAAGCAATGAGTTGGGATTCCAGGAACATTATTTGCAGGAGCCACCAGCATCCCTGATTTAATCAGCCCAGAAGGCAGGACAAGGAATGATTAACATTCTCTTGCCTTGCATCAAGCTGTTACCAAACCAGGCCCTCTTGAGCTCTCTGCCTCACTCATGCTGACCCACTCAGTAGGCCAGGTGCCAGCCAGAGAAAAACTAGCTACTGTCCAGACACCAGGCTTCCCACAATTCTTCATGTGCCACCTCCCTGCATGTCCCATGTAATCTCTTTCCTTCCAAATCATGTTTTAAAAGGAGGGGTGGCATCTCTCCTATAGAGAAATGACCACAGAAAATGACTGAAACAAAATCCCCCATGAAGTGATTGGCTCCCCCATCTCCTTCCTTCACCTCTCTCTTTCTAAAATCTGATGATTCCAAAAGGAAAAGATGTCTTCTCCAGCTTTTCTTTGTGCCCCTTGCCCCCACCCAGTGCTGCTTCCACAGCCCCATAAGGGTCTCCTACCTCAATGACAGGATCTCCACATCCTTGAACCCCTGCACATTTTGGTAAATCTTCTGCATCTGAAATGCCAAGATCCTTGGGCTCACACCTGAACCTTGTGACCTGCGTGTACCCAGGCGCCCAAGCTCAGCTTCAGGGAAGCACCCTTGAGTTCCCTCCCTTTCCCCATCACCTGATCCCGGAAGGTGTCACTGAAATCTTTGTAGGCCGTGGAAGTGCAGTCATTGAGGTCCGGGGAGAACTCCTGGTCAACAGACACCTCCATGCCCACTTCGGCATCCACAGTGTCTGTGCACAGCATACCCTGCTCTGGTCACTTCACCGGCCACTCCCGTCTGACACCACCACCACCACCGCGACCCGGAGGATCCTCCCATTGCCCCTCTCTGCGTTCCCTGAGGAATGACCGAACAGTAGCAAGAAGGAAGATGGGATTTTTTCCCCCCACAAGCGCAAGATAGGATTTCTAGGATTTGTTGTGTTGAGATGTGGGAAAGATTAGAGGTAAGGAGGCATAGCAGCCAGGCCTGTGGTCTCTCCCTTGTCTGGCCCAGTGTCAGGCAGAATAATGGCTCCCCAAGATGCCTGTGTCTTCATCCCCAGGACCTCCGGATATGTTATGCTACATGGCATGGGGGAATCAGGATTGCAGATAGAATTTAAATCGCTAATCAGCTGACTAAAATGGGAAAATTAACGTGGATTACTGGGTGGGCTCAACATAATCCTAAGAGTCCTTAGCAGTGGAAAAGAGAGGCAGAAGAGGTCAAAATCGGTCACAAGATGTGACTACAGAAGAAGGGCGCAGAGATGTAATGTTGCCAGCTTCAAAGATGGAGAGAGGGAGCCTTGAGACAAGGAATGTGAGAGGCTTCAGAACCTAAAAAGAGCAAAGAAATGGATTCTCCCCTAAAGCCTCCAGAAAGGAACACAGGCCCGCCGACACCTTGACATTAGCCCAGTTAGCCCCACGTCAGACTCCTAGCTACAGAATTGTAAGACAATACATTTGCATTGTTTCAGCTGCTAAGTTTATGATCATTTGTTACAGCAGCATTTAGAAGCTAATACAGCTCCTAGCAGCCCAGACTGGGAAGGAGACCACAGGAAGGAGTGTGATCCCAACCACCTCCTGGAGGTGAGGGTGGAAAGGAGGCATGACACGGGGTAGAGGAAAGCATGGGACAGTAGGCAGGGATGGAGGAATTAGGCAAAATGACATGAGTGCTGACAGGCGAACCACAGGACTGGACCCAGGGAGAGTCAGTGGCATCTCCGAGGAGGAAGTGCAAAAGGCAGGGCTCTGGCAACTCACCCAGATCCACCTGTCCCACCACAAACTCGCAACGGGAGCCATAGAAGGTACGAGGGCAGTGGCACGTGAGGCCATCCCATTTACCCCCATTCTGGCACCTGATCTCCTGGAGCTCACAGTGGTCCCCAGAGAACCCCAAGGGGCAGTGGCAGAGGCCCTGCATCCAGGTGCCACCATTGTCACAGGTGCCTGGACAGCACAGGAGAAAAAGGAAGTTCAGGATAGGGCTTGCCCTCGGTGACAGAGAAATTTATCAGAGGAGAGAGAAGAGGGAACAGGGAAGCAGGAGGTCCAACCTGGCGTGGTGGTCAACCTAGACCGTGTGGTCATCTGAGTAGTGGTCCAAGTGGTCCTGGGTGACTTAAGGGTGGTAGTACTCTGAGGGGTAATCGCCGGTGTTTCTGGAGTCTTGGTAGTGGTTGGGGTGGAGTGAGTCGACTTGACTGAAGTCACCATGGCAGGTGGAAAGCTACTGCTTGGTTTCGTCGTCAGTGGGAGGCTAGTGAATCCAGGCATATGTGGGATGGTTATAGAATTGGTGTTCATCCAGTTTCCACTGGTGGGTCTTGGAGCGCTTGTCAAAACTGTGTAACTGGGGACAGTCCCAGTGCTGACAGAACTAGAACTAGGAGCATCTGTTATGCTGTTGGTAGGATGAGTTTCCCGAACAGCAGAAGCGTCCGTACGCATAGGAAACACAGTTGTCATACTGGTGGAACCAGGAGAGGTGGCCATCTCAGTAGTAGAAGTAAACACTGACATTGGGATGGTGGCCACAGAAGTAACTTCACTACTTGGACCCATTTCCATACATGAAGTAGTGGGAGAGGCAGGTGCTATTGTAACTGATATAGATTCTGGACATGGGGTGGTAGAAGAAATGAAACAGGTGGCGGTTGTTTCAGTAGCAAAGGTCTCTAGAGAAGATGTGACTGGAGACGTTCTTATAGTTTCAGATGAAAAAGGAGTAGTGAAAGCAGTAGCAGAAGAGCCTGTATTTTCCATTCTAGAGAGAGGTGAGGATGTAGAAAGAGAGGTAGTGGTGGTGGTGAGCACTGAAGTTACACTGGTGGAAGATAGAGAAGAGGACGTTATTGTTGTGGATATTGAAGAAGAGATAATGGTACCAAAAGAAGTAGTTATTGCATTTGTAGATGTACTCAGACTAGGGAACGATAATGTTGGAGAAACACAGGAAGTACTGGGTGGTACTGTGGGGGTGGGTGTTGTTACCAACATCGTAGTAACAGTCATGGCTGTTTCTGGGGTAGAGGGAGTGGGCGAAGTGGCTGTGATCGGGGTAGAGCTTGAAGTGTTGGTGGGAGTGGTGATGTCAGTTGTGGCCACTGTGACTACAGCGGGGGATGCAGCCCTGGGACTAAGGAGTGTAGTAATCGAGGTGGATGAAGGGGTAGTGTCTGTGGTCGAACTGGAGACTGATTCTGTGGTTGGGGCAGGTGGAGAAGACAGATGCATACTCACGGCTGATGTCAAGGTATTGGTGGCCACTGGAGTAGAGGAGGTAAATGTCAGAGAATCAACCGTATTCGTGGGAGTGACTGATGATGTGGTTGCAAGAGGAGAAGTAATCTCTGTGGTGAGAGACTGCGTCCAAACACCCCCAGTGGGAGTTAGTGTGGTCTTCCAGGTGGATGGGGCATGAGAGGGTGTGACCGTCATCTTGCGTGTATATGGTGCAAATGTAGTAGAGGAGGGTAGCCCAGTGGTCGGGGATGTTGTGTGTGTGGCAGTGGCAGTGGGTGCTGGGGTGGATTCAGCATTTATGTGCCACGTACCTGTGCCTGTTGCATATGAGGTAGTACTCTCTGTCTGTGTGGTCCCGGTACTGCTGGTAGACATGGGAGAGGAGCCTGCAAATGCAACTGGGGTGTCTGTAGCAAAGGTAGGAGGTAGAGTGCTGTGCGTCCTTGTGGGCATGGTTGCCGTAGCAGGCACTGTGGTAGAGGTTGTGATGACACTGGATGATATGTCTGTATTCTGGACAGTGGGGAGAGATGGGCTGATGTAGGTGGGTGTTGCCACTGTGCTGGAAGCAGTGACTGTGGAGGTGAGGTCAGTAATGGCAGTCAGAGAGCCGGTGGTAGCCCTGGCTGTAGGGCTTGATGGCTGTCCGTGCTGAGTTAGGCATGCCTCTACTAACGGAGGACGAGTTTATGGCGGTGGTTATCCTCGGGGTGCCAGTGGTAGAGGGAGTTGGGGTTATCGCTGATGTGGTTGTGCTTCCTTTAGAAGAGATGTTTGAAGAAGTGACACCTGGGGTACTGTGTGGTATTGCAGGAGTGGGCGCTGTTACCACAATCGTGGTCGTCGTTTCTGGAGTGGAGGAAGTGGGCAAAGAGGCTGTGTTCAAGGTGGCCGTGGTTGAAATGTTGGTGGGAGTGGTGGTTTCAGTTGTGGCCACGGTGCCAGTACTAGTGGGAGATACAGGGGTGGACGTGACATGGGTTGTAGGGAGGGTAGTAATCAAGGTGGATATCGGGGTAATGGTTATGGTCCAGCTGGAGACTGAATCTGTGGATGGAGCAGGTGGAGAAAACAGACGCATACTCGTGGCTGATGTCAAGGTATTGGTGTCCCGTGGAATGGAAGAGGCTGATGCTGGAGAATTGACTGCATTCCTGGGCGTAAGTAAGGATGTAGTTGAGGGAGGAGAAGTAATCTCTGCCATGAGAGACACTGTGGAAATGTCTTTTGTAGGAGTAAGTGTAGTTTTCCAGGTGGTCATCTTGCCCGTGTGTGTGGCGGCTCCAGGGGGAGAGTGTGGTTCTGTGGTTGTGAATGTTGTATAAATATTGGTGGTAGTGGGGTCCAGGGTGGGTTCAGAGGTGGCGGATGTGGTGGAAACCACTGTGGTTTTTGGAGTGACTGATGATGTGATTGGAGAAGTCCAGGTAATTCCTGTTGTGAGAGTTTCTTTAGGGGTGTCACTCCCCAGAACGAGTTTTGTTTCCACAGAACTCATTGTTTTCAAAGTAATTGGTGTACTGAGTGCAGCAGTCGTTTCAGTAGAAGCAGATATCCTTTGCATTGTAGGTGTTGTTAATATATTTATTGCTGTGGGATCATGAGTGGTGGCAGTTGCTGCTCTCAATGTACTGGCGGTGTTCGGAAATGAAGCCGTGGTTGTGATCAAGGTGCTACTGGTGATGGGTGAGGAGTTGTTATCAGTTACGATTGCTGAGATGTTCGCGGCAGTTAGAGAAGTAGAAGTGATGATGGGGGTAAGAGACCTGGGTGTATGAATGCTTGCTGTGGTCTGGCTAGCCCTTTTTGTGGTACCAGTAGTAGAGGATATCGGAGTATGGGAGGTTGTGTGTGGGGTTGAGACAGAGGAAGAGAGTAGGGCCATGGTTGTGGGAGGTTTCCCCAGAGTGGTGGTGGGAGTGGGAGGAGAGGTTATGGCTGAGGTGAGTCTCTCGGTGGTGGTCAGGGTCATGCAGGTGGTGGGGTAAGTGGTAGTGATTATAAGGCTCGTGGGATTGATGCACTTTGTGGTGCTCGTGTAGACAATGAGGGTGGGTGGAGTCGTTTCCACCTTGATGACAAGCTTGGACGTTGGGATTGTTGAGGTGTTGGACTTGACTGTAGTTTTGAGCAATGCCTCAGAAATAGGTTTAAAGTGAGGGGAGGTGGTGGGAGTGGTAAGTGTGTGTTCCCTACTGTTGGGAACCGGAGGGGCCCTGCTGGGGATGCTGAGTGGCCACCATGCTGCACCTGTGGGACGTGGGGAGTTGCTGAGAGCAGTGTGAGCTGCTTCTGTTCTGGGAAAAAGCTCAGTAGAGGTGGATGCAGCCATGGGGGACGTGCCTACATTGAGGACAGAAGAGAGGGATTCATTTGCAGATAGCATTGACACCATAAACCCCACGTAGCTTAGTCACTACCCCATTTTCCAGATAGTATCACAGAAGGTAGGAAGTTCCATTGCTTATCCCTCCATCAGAGGCAGTTTGGGGCTACGGCCTTTCAGGTTCTGAAGGGGACGCCCTCAGTCCTTTGGCCCCTCTTCTGAGTGGGGACCTTCCAGCCCTAGGGACGGCTGTGCTGAGCATGCATGTTCTGCTGAGGGTCCTCCCACCTCACCCCTTTCTCCACACATACATGTTTCCCTTACTCTGCTCCCTCCTCTTCCCCACCTGCTGCCCAAAGTCCCCACCCTTTGGCTCTCCTCTGCCCTTCTCCCTATGACGCACTGCTGTCTGGGCTGACTCTCCTCTTCCAAGAGAACCCCGCCAAGTCTGGGCTTGTGGGGGGAACACATCATGGACACTGGAGCCATTGGGTCAGAGAGGGGAAAACTGCATAGAGAACAGCAAAGGGAAAACCAGAGTTTGAGGCTCAGACTCTATTGAGTTTGAGGGACAGGGAGAGAGGACCACACTGACAGGCTGAGGGACAGGACAGAAAAGGAAACTTCCAGAAAGTGATAAGTCAGAAGGTAGGCATGGCTTCGGCTGCCTTCGGCTCAGGTCATGATCCCTGCCTCGGGCTCCCTGCTCAACAGAGAGCCTGCTTCTCTCTCTCTCCCTCTGCGACTCCCCCTGCTTGTGGGCTCTCTCTCAAATAAATAAATAAATAAAATCTTAAAAAAAAAAAAAAAGGTAGGCATGAGTTCCAAAGACCTTAAGGTTTAGCAGTGAGTGTCAATAAAAACAGACGTATTTTCTATCACCCACTCTATTTTGGCCACTGGGTTAATTAGTTTACAAACATGAACCCCTAACTCTACAGATATCATCAACCCCACTTAAGAGTGAGGGTCAGAGGGGCGCCTGGGTGGCTCAGATGGTTAAGCATCTGCCTTCGGCTCAGGTCATGATCCCAGAGTCCTGGGATCAAGACCCACATCGGGCTCCTGGCTCAGCGGGGAGCCTGCTTCTCCCTCTGCCTCTCTCCCTGCTCATGCTCTCTCTCTCTGTATCTCTGTGTCTCAAATGAATAAATAAAAACTTAAAAAAAAAAAAAAGAGTGAGGGTCAGAGATCTCATAATGCTGGGGTGAGTGGCAGAGAGACTCCTGCAGCCACAGCATTTGCAAGCAGGAAGTGCCCAGACCTCCTGCCCACCCAGCATTAGCCTCCTCCTCACCTTGGACCGAGAACACCTTTGTTCTGAGAGCTGGGATTTCATTTCTCAGCCTAGCTGGGTATGTCAGGGAGGTGGGAGGGGGGATTATGAAGATTCCTGGGTTAGAGCCCTTAGTGCCAGGAGGTGGCCCTAGAGGTAAGTGAGAGGGTGGTCCATGGGCCTCTAGGTTGGGAAGGTGTAGGACTGAGGGTCAGGAACAGACACCAAGAGACAGAGGGAAGGGAAATACAGAGGAATTATGGGATTCCTAAGGGACAGGAAAGAGAAAGCCCTGGACCGCACTCCGGGTAGTATACACCCACCCTTTGGGAGCAATCAGGATCTCCCCAGCCCAGCCCTGCCAATGACAACTGTGCCCAGAAACGTGGGCTGGGTGGGGGCAGGGAGAGATAGAGGCAGAGCTGGAGGAGGGGACTGGGACCAAAGGCAAAGATGCCCCCGAGAGAGGAGAGAACCCCAGGGGAAGAGGTGGAGCTGTCATGGAGAGAGCACCCCTGGAAGTTAAGGAAGAGTCCAGAATGGACAGAGCACCGGGGCTGGTGAGGGGAGGGACAGAAGAGAAGTGAGGGCTCAGAAAACCAAATCAAAGGGAAGAGCACTTCTCTGGAAAGAGGTTATGCCCACTCTCCCGATGCAAGCACCCACGCTTGCAACCTGCTTGGTCCTGGGTGGAGAGCAGCACCAGCTGGACCCAGCTTCCTTTCTCCTCGATGCCTCCCGCACCCAAAGCTCTGAGGAATCTCTCCTCAGTCTCCACTTAGGCCTCAGAGCCACTTCCCCACACACCCCTGCCCCAAAACATCAGCCCTTTTCCCACCGGCCCCCTCACCTCTGGCCCCCGTGGAGGCCCTGAGCACCCAGAGGAAGACGAGGAGCCTGAGCAGCCGCATGGGCCTAGTGAGGCAGGTAGAGCAGGTGCCAGCACTGGGGGCGGCTACAGGAGATGGCCACTATGTACACAGCAGCACCCAGCGGGGACTGAAAGGTGTGGCTATCTGCCCTGCTAGACGTGGGGGCTAAGCATAGGCTCCCCGTTGCACCGCCTACCTCAATCCTCTTCCCCCCTTCTCCAGGTATCTGACTTCATTGCTGTTGGAAGGACACCAAGAAGGTAGGACTAGCCCAGGAGGTGTCAAACAGGGAGGGCTGCTGGTGGCCCACTCAGAGGAGTTCCTAGAACCCTGCCTTTCCCCTCCCCTGCCCCCCACCAAGAACCAGCAAAACTGGATGGAGAATACACTTGGTCAAGACCTTGGACTCTGGAGTCTGGGGTTGACTCTCACAGCCTCTCCTTAGTTTCAGTCCCAGCTTCAGGACAGGGAGGGGAAAACTTGTTCTCCTCACTCCCTCTCCCCCTTGCTCTTCCCTCTCTCCATCCTGCCCTTAGCATGACTTGAGCTGAGACCCCATAACCAAAGCCATGGGAGCAATGCGGCATTCAATCAGAAGTCATTTTAATATCTGAGGATCTGGGCCAGGTCCCAGAAAAGAAGATACAGATGGCCAGTGGAAATGATCAAACAAAAGGATGTTTTGACACAGCAGATTAGCAACTATTAGGAAGTTTGAGTCCCTTCAGTGTCGGGAAAGGTGTGAAGAACACACACTCTTACCCAGCTGGTGGGAGTGTAAGTGTGTTGGGCTGCTCTGAAAAGCCCATTTGGTAACATCTATTAAAATTTTAAATGCATGCTCAAGGACCCAGTAATTCGACCACTGCGTCTCCGTGTTCAAGAAGCACTTCACAAAGGTATTCACAAGGATGTTTATTGCCATCCAGCTTATTGTGATTCCAACAGAAATGGGAAACAACCCAAATCTCCCTCAATAGGAATCTAGAATGGACTATGGAATCATCACACTATAGACTACCATGCTTGAATCAAAAAGAAGAGTACCATAATGGAAAGACTCTCAGAATGGCTTGCTCAGTGAAACCAAGAGACACAGTTTTGCTAAAACACACACAT